GAGGACACATATTCTGACCTCCTCTAATCCTGCAAGAGGAAGACAGGATTACCAGCAGTAACCCAAGGCCTATTCCTGCCAGGCCAGACATGCTGCCTCCCTCCAGCCCTTTTTCTCCAGCCGTTCCTCCCAAAGCACCCACCACCTCTCTAGTGGGTTCGATAATTCGCTGCAGTGGCCACACAGAACTCACAGATTACAGGGTTTATTAGGGAAGCACCAGGCTACAACTCAAGTTCAGGAAGAACACTCAGTCTCTTTCCCAGCCCACCGTCCCTCAGCCAACAGTCTCGCACAGTCTCTTTCCCAGCAGTGCTGGTCCCATGGTGTTTCACTCAGCAATGCGTTTCTCTTGCGTCTCTTTCCCAGCAGCGCGTGTCTCAGGAGCCCATGTCTCTTTCAGCATCACGTCTTCCTCAACCAGCAGTCAGGGCGAGTTCTGCCTCCAGGAGGCCTCCTTTTGAGCCTGGAAGGGTGGTCAAACTAGCCAATCACAGCATCCATCAGAACTCTAAGCACGTGAGAGAGAATGGGAACCAGAACATTGTATTGTGCCATGCCCAACAGAAATAACCCAGGTGGATAGCTTCAGCAATCAGGAGCTCCTCAGTTGCCCATAGAAAATCCCACCTTGGAGTTTACAAAGACTTATGGGTAGAAAAGCCACACTAAGTAATTTACTACACCACAGATGGTGCCTAACATGCTGTTTTGAATGTGTGTTGCTCTCCAAGGTCCTGCCAGTAATCCAGTCTCCTGCATTGGGCTCACTACTACACCTCTTGTCAGTCTTCCGTTCCACAGTTTTGACCCATAATTTTTCCTATTCTGCTTACCGTGACAGATCAGCTACATTATAAAAACTGGTCTGTTCCTGTTTCATTTCATCAGACTTGACAGGACCAGTTTGAACCCCTTCATTAAAGGGCAAGTAGGAGTCGTCTGTAAGTCAGATGTTTGTAACTTCTGGGTATCCACATTTTAAGTAACTGTCAATGCAGCACCCCACTCCTGGTACCATATTCTGTTCTGGTTACCTAGTGCCACTCTGACAAGAATATACCACGAAAGTGATGGCCTTAACAAACAGGAGTTTATTCTTACAATTAGGAGGCTTTAAGTCCAAGTTCAAAGGGCCAGGCTCATTGTGTTAGATTGGGTTCTCTAGAGAAACACAAAAACCAGCAAAGTGTATATATATATTTAGAGAGAGAGAGAGAGAAATTTATCTTAGGAAAATGGCTCACAAGCGTATAGAAGCCGACAAGTCCAAGCCGAAAAGTCCAAGTCTCTGGAGGAGATGGGGCTTGCGGCCGCCTTGGCTTCCGCAAGCACAGGGGAGCTGAGAGATTCAAGCTGGCATGCAGTACACTGGTTGTTGACTCCAACAAAAGACGAATCCGAGATCTCCAGGCTGAGTGGTGGGCCGCTCACTCACGGAAGTCTGTAGTTCACACACCAGGGTTCCAATTCCTCAAGGAATGCGGCTCTTCCCAGAATGTCCTTGGATATCTTGGAAGCAGGCCACACCCCTAGGGAAACTCCCCTTGGGCAGACTGGCCACTCAGAACACAGTCATCTGATCCCATCATGGGAACAACCACACAGAACTGGGGTCCAGCCAAGTTGACACACAGCTCCAACTATCACACTCATGAAAGCCCCCCAGCCTTGGGCTTCAAATCTGCCTCCTGCTCCTGGCCCACTGAAGCTAGAGACTTCTTCACTCAGACAGCTGCTGGCTGCTGAGACTGACAAGCCCAAGGTTGAGAAGTAAAAAGGCACAGTTCTAATGTTACCAAACAATATGGCAGGCTATTAAGTCAAGTCCATTGAACGTCCCAACGTTGGCAGAGCATGGCAGGCTGCTGAACAACAACACAGCTACATGCAGCGTTCAAATGTGCCATAAGCTAGAGACCATTCCCAAAGCTGTTTCTTATATATGGAAAGCAGACTACATACCCAAAGCAGCTACTCAGCTGCTCCAATAGATTCCACCATGGAGTTAATTACCAATCTCACCATGGGGGATAATTATATTCAGCTGCCCAGCCACTCAACCAGGCCCAGTCAAATTGACATACAAACTTAACCATCACACTGCCTGTACTCAACATTTTGATCAAAGATTCCATAGAAGTATCCTGATCAAAAGGGGGGAAATACATACAGAACAGAATCTCAGTTTCTCATGGACTGTAGACTTTCTGGAGCCATAGAGAGTGGATCTACCTGTCCCCCTGAGTTAATCTTTAAACCTTAAATCAAGTATATCCCCTGAAGTTGTCTTAAAACCAAACAGTAGTTTAGGGGAATTAATAAAAGATGTTTCCTTTCAGCATTATGCTCTTTTAAGATCTATATGGGATCAAATTGACAGCATCAACTTGAAAGGTTAGATAGGAACCTTAGGGGACAGTGAGTTTATGTTAATGAGGGAGGAGCAACTGAGGAAAAGAACGTGAGAATGGCACAACTGGAAGAATGTAAACAGTGTCATTAAATTGTATGTGTAGTAACTGATGAATTGGTGTATGTTTTACTGTGTACATTCTCAAAATAAATAAAACATAGAAACATATAATTTTGTTACATACACTCTTGTGTAGTTATTTTTAAATGCTTGGTTTTTTAAGTTTTTCTTCCCTTTTGGCCAATCTTGGTTGTTTCTCCAAGCGGCAGCTTTGTGTTTGTGGAACATAGCATGAACAGGCATACCTTGGAAATATTACAGGTTTAGTTCCAGACCACCACAATAAAGTAAATATTGCATTAAAATGAGTCACACAAATTTTTTAGTTTCCTAGTTCATATAAAAGTTATGTTTGTACTGTACTGTAGTATGCAATAGAATTATGAAAAAATTCAAAATATTGTGAGAGTTACTAAAATGTGACATAGAGATATTAAGTGAGCATGTGCTATTGGAAAAATGGCATCAATAGACTTGCTCAACTCAATAGTTGCCAGAAATCTTCAATTTGTTTAAAAAAAAAAAAATACAGTATCTGTGAAGAACAGTAAAATGAGGTATACCTGTGGTGTTATTACCACCCCAGCATGTAAAGGCAAATGGGAGCAGACCAACTCCCATTGGTGCATCTGATTCATTAGGCAAAGTAAACTATTCCCCAGGACCAATAATTCATCCACATCACAAAATGCCCAGTCTTAGAATTATTCTTTTTGAGAGCTGTGCTTAATGAACATATCAAAGCAGCTCAAGTTCATTAAAATTAACCTGTAGAACTCCATAGTCTTGATGACTGTGAGAAGAGTTTATATGCTTTCTTTGAATTATCTTGGAGTAAGTTCTATCATCCTAGTTTTACAGATAAAGAAACTGAAACAATTAGAAGGTGGTAGAACCAGGATTTGAAGTTGGACAGTCTGACTTCAGAGCTTCTCCACATTCTTATGCTCAATTTCTTGAAAAATTAGAGGTTCCATAGTGTATCACAGGGTAGGAGTCATAGAAGTATAGATAAGGGAGTATTTTCTATATGATTCATTTGAGAAGCCAGTAATTTTTAAATTCTTGGCCTCTTCAGGAAAAAGACTTCAACTTGGTGGAGCACAGTAGCTGGTTGCCTCAGTGTGGGAAGTCCAATGTACTTCCGTTCAGGTGCTCAGGAATTTGGAGAACCAGGATGGTGGAAACTTGTTCACAACAAGCCCCCTACAATGAAACCTGAAGGAGAGAAGTTGTCTGCCTCTACTCTGAGAGTAAAAGGTACTGTTAGGAGAAGAGTCTACAAGGTACTAGCTAGACCAAAACCAAGCCCATGGAGTCCTCTGCTCTTCCCAGGCATAGCTCACTAGTGTCTCTGGACCCACTGTGCTTGACAGTTTTTTATTATGGCTCATTTTTTTGTTTGCTGTAGATAAACATTATATTATATTGCAAATATTACTATTATTATTATTATTTTGTAATGAAGTATCAGTTTTATAAACATCCTTAGGTATTTGAAAGATTATCTAATTTTGTTTTTAAACTTTTTATTATAGAGAATTTTAAACATTATAAAAGTGTACAGAATGATACAGTAAATTTCCAGGTACTTCTCATCCACGTCCATAGTAAACTCCTGGTGGGGGCATTTTATCAGGACCCCTGAGTACTTTCTCCATCTACTCCACCCCTGGATTACTTAGAATCAATCCCAGACATCAGCATTTCATTCTTTAATATTTCAGTATGTGTTTCTAAGAGATAAAGACTCTCCTTTCTTGTAATCTAACCATAATGCCGTTTCACACTTTTTAACTTCTTGGTATCTATATGATCGTTTTATCTAAAAAGTTTTTAATAAGCTTTGAAATTTTGAAAAAAATAATTGGGGAAAAAAAATCAAGTAATATTGAAGGAGTAAGTTTGAAAGTTCCATGTGCCCCTTGCAGCCTGCAGTTTCACTCCCAGAATAACCACTATTCTCTTGTGATGGCTTTTTAGAAATTATCTCTGCATATTTAAGCATATACATTTCGTATCAAAAATATAAATTGACTTATACTATAATACTTGTTCTCCATTTTCCCCCTGCTTCTCAGTATATCTTGGCCATCTTTCCCTAACAGTGCACATAGATATACTTTATCTTACTGCATTCTGTTGTATGGCTAAACTAAAACACCAAACTCACTGCCATCAAGTCAGATCCAACTTATAGCAACCCTTCCTTGGGTTTCCAAGGTGGTATCGCTACGGAAGTAGATTGCCCAACCTTCCTTACAAGGAGTGGCTGGTGGGTTTGAACTGCCAGCCTCCTGGTAAGCAGTCAAATGCCTTAGGCACTATGCCACCAGAGCTCCTGTTGTATGGCTATACAGTAATTTATCAAACCATTCCCCTACTGATAGACATTTTGGTTGTTTCTGGTTTTTGTTGTTATTTTAAACAATGCTACAGTTGTACGACTCAAATCAGTTGTACAGATTTGTGTATATGTGCATATATGTTGTGGTAAATTCCTTGAAACAGAATTGCTGTATCAAAGTACATATTCATTCAAAATTTTAATCTGTATTGCCAAATTCCCCCACAAAAATTTTAAGATTTATGCCCTACTAATGATACATGAAAATGCCTATTACTGAGCATTATCAAACTTCTATTTTTCCAGTAGATGAAAAATAATATTTAATTGTTTAAATTTGTGTGATAACTTTCTTTTCTGAAGAGTTACTTAAATCTTTTGGTTTAGGCTTTCATTGAACATTTTCTCTACATAGAACATAGAGTTCTAGGTTTACAGTAATAAATTAGCAAAAGAGAAATTAAATAATTATTTAAGGATTTAAATATTTATTCTTTTCTACCAGCCTCAAAACCAACTTTAGATCCCATCATTACTGTTGAGGGACTTAGGAAACGAGTGAGTCGGAATCCTGTGGAATCTGCCATGGAATTAAAAGAGAAAAGGTCTCGTACTCAAGAAGCAAAAGACATTAGAAGAGCTCAGAAGGAGGCAGCTGGCTTTCTTGATAGAAGCACTTCTTCAACCCCTGTCAAGTTCATCAGCCGTGGCCGCAGGACGGATGTGATTCTTGAAAAAGGAGAAGTGATTGACTTCTCGTCCTTGAGCTCATCTGATCGCACCCCCCTGACAAGCCCATCTCCTTCTCCTTCTCTGGATTTCTCTGCCCCTGGAACACCCGCCTCTCATTCAGCCACTCCTAGCTTACTCTCAGAAGCAGATCTCATTCCAGATGTGATGCCCCCACAAGCCTTGTTTCATGGTAAGGTTCACCTCTCTTGAATCCTTTGTTTTATGTACAGTTTTATGTAAATTTGTAGGATTTCCCCTGTGAGTGTGTGGGCTCAGCATTTCTTCTTTCCTATGTCTGATTTCTCTCTTTTGTGCTCTGTACAGATGATGATGAGATGGAAGGTGATGGAGTCATAGATCCAGGAATGGAGTACATTCCACCCCCTGCTGGGTCAGCGGCTTCTGGGACAGTGGTCGGAGGCAGAAAGAAGGTCAGAGCACCTGAACAGATAAAGCAAGAGGTAGAGAGTGAGGAGGAAAAACCCGACAGGATGGACATTGATAGTGAAGACACGGATTCCAATACATCTTTGCAAACAAGGACTCGAGAAAAGAGGAAGCCTCAATTGGAGAAGGATATAAAACCTAAAGGTCCCAAGTATACGCCTGTAAGCATCTATGAGGAAAAGCTGCTTCTGAAGAGGCTGGAAGCTTGTCCCAGTGCTGTTGCTATGACACCAGAAGCACGGAGACTGAAGCGTAAATTGATTGTCAGACAAGCAAAAAGGGATAGGGGATTACCACTTTTTGACTTAGATCAAGTTGTTAATGCTGCTCTTCTGTTAGTTGACGGGATTTATGGAGCCAAAGAAGGAGGTGTTTCTAGGGTTCCAGCTGGCCATGCCACATACAGAACAACCTGCCAGGACTTCAGAATCCTTGACCGATACCAGGTGAATGCCAGCACATGCTCTAAAACTCCAGTGGCAGGGGTGGAGGTGGGGCAGCCAGCACTGGGGACTGGATAGTTATGACATTCTGATGGAAAATCCTGACTGATTTTGGTATAGAGAAGAAAAGAGCAAGAGAGAAATAAGAAAACATTACTGGGCTTTTTCTTTTTTCAGTTGTTCATTATGAACACCCCTTAATACATCTGGAATTCCCCACCACACCCCTGAGGCATTCAAGACATAAGTGAGGGGATTCAAGACAGTCTGGAGGGTAGCTGTACATGGTTTGTGCCTTAACTTGATCAACAGATTTGTTGAGAATATACATTGTACTAGATACTGCTGAGGAGGATCTGAATATATATACCCATCTGTATAGTTAGGAGACAACATGTAGAAATAGCTGCCAAGTGATCAGTGTGTGTCAGTATTGCTCATAGGGGTTAGTGAAACCCAATTTGTGTAAGTTGCTCTTGGGAGCAATTAAATTCACTCAGAACTGCTAGAATATACAGCAGGAAGAGAGGTCTTATTTCCCTGTGTTTTTGCTACCTCCTGATAACTGGCCTTTGTTGTTGTTGTTAGGGGCCATCAAGTTGGTTCTGACTCATAATGACCCTATGTACAACAGAACAGAACAATGCCAACTTCTGTGCCATCCTCACAGTCATTACTATGTTTGAGTCCATTCTTAGAGTCACTATGTCAGTCCCTCTCTTTGAGGCTCTTCCTTTTCTTTTTTTGCTTACTTTCTGCCTGACCAAGTATGATGCCCTTTACCAGGGACTGATAACATGTCTAAAGTACACGAGATGAAGTCTTGACATCCTCACTTTTAAGGAGTATTCTGGCTGTACTTCTTCCAAGACAGATTTATTCATTCTTCTGGCAGTCCATGATATATTCAGTATTCTTGGCCAGCACCATAATTCAAATGCATCAATTCTTTGGTCTTTCTTATTTGTCACCCAGCTTTCACATGCATAGGAGGCATTTGAAAATACCATGGATTGAGTCAGGTGCACCTAAGTCCTCAAGGTGACATCTTTGCTTTTTAACACTTTAAATAGGTCTTTTGCAGCTGATTTGCCGAATGCTGTACATCATATGATTTCTTGATTGCTGCTTTCAAGAGGTGCTTGTGAAGAATGTGTACATAGTCTAAGAGGCTGCCATTTGAACAGAACAAGGGCATACTTGCATGGTTTAAAATCAGGAAAGGTGTGTGTCAGGGTTGTATCCTTTCACCATACTTATTCAGTTTGTATGCTGAGCAAATAATCTGAGAAGGTGGACTATTTGGAGAAGAACATGGCGTCAGGATTGAAGGAAGACTCACCAACAACCTGCAATACACAGATGACACAAACTTGCTTGCTGAAAGAAAAGAGGACTTAAAGCACTTACTGATGAAGATCAAAGACTACAGCCTTCAATGTGGATTACTATCAACATGAAACAAAAATCCTCACAACTGGACCAATAAACAACAACATGAGAAATGGAGAAAGATAAGATTGAAGTTGTCAGAGAGTACATTTACTTGGATCCACAGTCAACACCCATGGAAGCAGCAGTCAAGAAAGCAGATAGCGTTGCATTTGGCATATCTGCTGCAAAAGACTTCTTTAAAGTGTTAAAGAGCAAGGATATCACTTTGAAGACTAAGGTACAGCAGTCCCAAACCATGGTCTTTTCAGTAGCCTCATATGCACATAAAAGTTGGACAATGAATAAGGAAGACCAAGAAGAATTGATGCTTTTGAATTGTGGTGTTGGCAGAGAATACTGAAAATACCATGGACTGCCAGAAGAACAAACAAATATATCTTGGAAGAAGTGCAGCCATAATTCTCCTTAGAAGTCAGGATAGCCAGACTTGGTCTCACGTACTTTGGTCATGTTGTTAGAAGGCACCACTCCCTGGAAAAGGATATCATACTCAATAAAGCAGAGTCAGTGAAAAAGGGGAAGACCCCCAACGAGACGAATTGACAACAGTGGCTGCAGCCATGGGTTCAAGCGTAGCAAGGAATGTGAGGATGCTGCAGGACTGGGCAGTGTTTTGTTCTATTGTACGTAGGGTTGCTATGAGTTGGAACCAACTCGGCACCTAACAGCTGCTTCCATGAGCATTGATTGTGAATCCAAGTAAAATGAAATCTTTGGCTACTTCAGTCTTTTCTCCATTTGTCATGATGTTGCTTATTGGTCCAGTTGTGTGGATTTTGGTTTTCTCTATGTTAAGGTGTAATCCATATTAAAGGCTATATAGTGTTTGATCTACATCGGTAAGTGTTTCAAGTCCTCCACTTCAACCAACCAAGATTGTGTCATCTGTATATTGCAGACTGATGAGTCTTCCTCCAGTCCTGATGCCTCATTTTTCATATAGTCCAACTTCTTGGATTATTTGCTCAGCATACAGATTGACTAAGTATGGTGAAATGATACAACCCTGACATGCACCTTTCCTGATTTAAACTATGCAGTATCACCTTGTTCTGTTCAAACAACTGCTTCTTGGCCTATGTACAAGGTCCTCATGAACTGATGTTTAAGTTTTGTTAATCCAATAGGTGTAAAGTGAAATCTTTTTTTTATAAATTTCTATTTCTTTCATTAGAAATGAATTTAACCATTTCATTTTTCTTTTTTCCTTGTTTTTTCTTCATTGGTGAATTGTCTAATTGGATTCTTTGCACTTTTTTCTGTTTTTTCTTCTATGGAAGCTAGTAGTAGGATCTTTTTATTGCCAGTGTTCTGATATTATTCAATATTATACCATGTGTGAGGCTTTTTTCTTTTCATTTTCCTGTGCATTGGTTTGTGAGTCTGCAAAAAGCATGTGGAGGCAGCATCTTCTTACTTCCTCTAACTTCACAAGGGGGGAGAGAGAATCACCATCAGCAGCCCAATGCTTATTCCTGTGAGGCCAGGCATGCCATGACCCTCTAGCCTTTTTACCAACTCTGACACTAACTGTCCCTTCCATGGCATTCACTACTTCTCTGCTGGGTTTGAAAATTCATTGCAGTGGTCACACAGAACTCATAGACAGTACTCAAAATTATGGGGTTTATTAGGGAAGTAACAGGTTAGAATTCAGGTTCAGGTGTGTGCTTAGGACACAGTTTTTCAATCAGGACAGTCTCCCCTCTGCTGTGCCCTCAGGCATGACTCTCTGGCTGTTGGCCTTTTGGCCTGGCCTCTGCCCTGCTCAGGCAAGTGTTAGAAAGCTTTTAGTTCTGCTAATAGGTGCAGCTTGGTGCATCTACTCTGTCAGCAAGCCACCTACCCAAAGTTGCTCAGCTTTCTCACTCCATTGTCTGGTAAGCCCACTGTTTTGTCTCATGGCCTTTTGGTTCCACTGCCACCATGTCGCAGCTGGTTGTCTCAGCCAGTTGCCTCAGCTGGTCATCTCTCCCAGGAAGGTCCAGCACAGGAATCTTGGGTCCAGGATATGCCACACTCTGCCTTTGGCTCTTCTCTTTTCATGGCACTGAGATCCCCTCTTTTGCCTCTAGGAGGGCTCACTTTAAGCCTGGCAGAATGACAAAACTAACCAGTCCCAACATTAGAGTTTCATGCACCTTATTCGTATGGTCCTAGCCCGACAAGGATGCCATGCATCTTACTTACATTACTCCCAAGTTGTCCAGTCTCCTTGGTAGGCTATAAGCACCTTATATTTGCATAGTTCCACTCAGTAATCTCGTGGGAGTCATAAAAACCATGGCTAGAAAAGCCATTCCAAGAAATTCACTGCTCCACGGGATCCTTTCAATTTAGAAACTTTTCTTCTTGAGTTCTGGGAAGTCTTTATTTCCTATTCTATTTTTAGACTGGAAAAAAAAAAGCCCAAATCAGTTGCCATCAAGTTGATTCCAACTCCCGGCAACCCCATGTGTTTCAGAGTAGAACTGTGCTCCATAGGGTTTTCAATGGCTGTGATCTTGGGAATAGATTTCTAGGCCTTTTATGCATGGCACTCTGGTTAGATTTGAACTGCCAGCCTTTTGGTTAGTAGCTGAGTGCTTTTAAACACCCCTATAGATGAGGGATTAGCAGACTTTCAGTAGGCCATGTAGTAAATGTTTTTGACTTACAGGCCACATAATCTTTGTTAAAATTATTCAACTCTACTTTTGAAGTGTGAAAGCAGCCATAGACAATACATAATGAAGGGGTATTGCAATAAAACTTTACTTACTAAAATAATCTTATTAAAATGGCATGCTGAGGCATCTGACCTACTCTTTTAACTCCACCTTGGGGAAAGAGGAGCACCCAAAAGAGGATCCTATGAGGCAGAGATCAGACATGCCTCCACCCACCAACCTTTTTACCAATTCTAATACCACCCGTCCCTCCCACAGGACTCTACTTCTCTGTTGGGTTCAATAATTCATCACAGTGGCCACACAGAACTCACAGAAAATACAATTAGGGGTTTATTAGGGTAGTAACAGATTACAATCAGGACCATAATCAACTTAGAAATAATAGGAATAACTCAGAATACAGTTCCTAATCAGGACAGCTTCTTCTTGCCCTCTGCTGCCAGACCCTGTTAGGGGCCCTGTGTCCCTAGGCCTTGCTTTCAGGCCCTTCTGCCACCCGGCCCTCCTCAGGGCTTTCTCGGGCAAGTTTTACAACCCTTACGTAGCTCCATGGGTTGCAAGCCCCACCACAACCACGTCTTGCTCCAGTCTCCTCGTTGGTCCTGTCTCACACTTCTATCAGTTTTTCCACTGCTGCACCATCTATACCATCGTCTCTGGCTGTCCTCTGTATTACAACTTCCTTCTCTTCCTCCATGTCTCCCTTTAATCATGTGTGTGGTGTGTGGTGGCAAAACTGACCAATTCTTTCCTCAGAATTCCATATATCTTATTTGCATGGTTCCATCCCCACAAGGGTGCCATACACCTTATTTACATTATTAGCAAGTAGTGCCTAAGGCATTTGACTGCTAACCAGAAGGCTGGCACTTCAAA